GCATCTACCAAGGTACCTGTCTCCTCTCCCTTGCATTCGAAGAATCATTAGTTTCCGCCCATTTATGGACTCTGCGAGATGGTGATTGGTCGCGAGGCCCCATCCTCCAAAGAGAAAACATATTGCATTCTGGGGAAAGGAAAATGGGAACATGTACACTGTACTCCACCGTTGTCATGGGAAAGGTCAATCATTCAAGGTAGAAGAGAAGAATAAAATTACCATTCATCAACGTGTCAAACATTGGAGAGGGTCGAGACTCTCGACTCTGCCGGATTGCGAGAATAGATTATTTTACCGCCGACCCGTTGTAAGGAGTGTAAACGAATCAAATAAACGAGGGAGATTGAAGGAAAGGAAAGGAAGACCAAGACAATGAATGAAGATTAGCTAGTCAATTAGCAAAGACTTGATTTATATCGCTCCTTCAACTTCATGAAATGGACAATTTATCTCTTCTCCAATCGATAATTATGATTTGCTAAATCGCATCGTCCGACCAGAAAAGATATGCTTACATATACCTACCCGTGGAACTTGATATCAGCTGAAGAGTCGCATTTCCAAAGATTTTGGAGCAGCCTCCTCAAACAACTCCACATCCAATCAAACCTAAAAATGATCCTTCACAACTTACAAGAGACACAGCAAATATCGGCCATGCCGGGATTCAGGAAGTCTAAACGGAAGTGGGCTTTTTACCTTGGCAACCGGGCACACACAGATAGACAGACAGACAGCACTAAGATACCTTCATACCTACACCGTATGTACCGATGTATTTTGTGCAATGTTGTGTTATCATCACATGATTGTTTACCACGTGCGACTGCTTTGGATTTGACAGAGGACCTTTCGTCCGCGGTTTGGCAATGTTATGCTTGGTTGCTATGTTACCACCATTTTGTATTTTTCGGACATGTTCACATTTTGTTTCCCTGGATCATGGACTGTGAGATTGATGGGATGCACAGGCATGTAATGGAAATGAAAGGTGAAAGAAAGGTTACAAGGTGATTTTTACAAAAAAAAGGTAGATATATCTATATCTATATCTAGTCAGCGTAGCTTAGCGTAGCTATAGATAGACGGAGTCGATTAAGAATTTACTACTACTACTACTGTCTATATCTATACTTCACTCCCTTCAATTTGTTGCAGAGAACGATCTTTACGATCCATGGGAAGATTGTTCCATCTCCTGGTTTCTATCTTTATTTGTTTCTCTTGCTGTAATTTTCTGAACCCAATTAGATAGACAGCCTTCTACTCATCAACATCTTTTCCCTCCCTCAAACCATCAACCCCATCTACTTCAGCTCAGTCCCACGTCTCACAAGCCCCCAATCAGCTCTTCCATCCTTCTCGTACCCAAATCCGGGAGTTCTAACATCCACTCCCCCTGCGGGCTCTTCGGGCAACACTCGTTACAGTTACCAGGTAAATCTAACTCTCCGGGCCCCAAACCCTTCAAGACGTCACCAATCTGCAGCCAGAGAATCCTCTCGGAGAAATCCCAACCCACGAAATATACACTTCGTGTTCCATACCCCCAATACTCTGTTCTCTCTCACAATCTAGTTCTCGCGCAAACATGGCATTCCAAACACCGCATGTTCAATTCGCGTGGCTTGGACTAGACCACTTGACGCGCATGTAGAGTACGGTAGTTAGATATGCCAAATCTCCTTTGTCATCTCTGCGGAAATTGTGTCGGCGGTGAAAACGTCGTCATTGCATCTGTCTGCGAGGTCACAGGCAGGAGGTTCCTTGCAGTGAAATTGCCCATGTCTAAATTGTGATTACACAGTTTATGGGGAGGCTGAAAGTTCGAGAATGTTTTGTGCACGGATGGGAGCGACCGGTAGCTAGTGTCTTTAGGTAGTGGCTGTGTCTTGATTAATTTTTCGGGGAAATTTTCTCTCTCGCTTTGACGTGCTGCTACTAGAGAATTCAGACGGGGCTGCTAACTACTGGCGGTTGTTTCGGTTTGACTTTGGATTTGTCGAGGGATGGTTTCTCGAGGCTCGGTGCAAGATAAAGAGATGGCGGTGTAGATGAAGATCGAGATGTCGATGATTAAGGCATCGGATATTGAGATTGCCATGATATTATTATATTCATGGATTTCCCTTGCCTATTCACAGTTGAATGGGTATTATCGAATAATTCCATGAGCGCATGGTGAAGAGTTATTTCAAACTGTGAACGAGTTTAAAGATGTTCGAAATTCAATTTGTTAAATTCAGGATATGTATGTCCTTTTGAAAGTCAATCGAGTTCAGAAGATACACATCAATATTGAAAATGTGGTAGTTTCAAGTCTGTCTGTCTCTAATAAGCATACCGGTATATGCATTGTGGTTCGAATCCCATTTATTACATTCTGTTGTGACGATGTAAGATATTACATATGTAATTGTGAGAAGTCTCATACTACCAATATAATGCACACCGCCAATTCTATTTTCAATATCAAGAGACTGTGTGTATCGCTATGCATTTCTTGTAAACTGAAACTCTAATTTGATACTCCATCTCCAAATGACATAAGCCCATTTTAATTCTCACCATAGAGCTCTGATACATTGGCTCGCCCTCCTCCCCTCGTAGGAAACGTGATTGCTCCAGTCCTAGGTACTTGTCCAAGCATACTAAAACCAGCACATCCGACTCCATCCATCGCCACAGGGCGCTCAACTCAATCGGTCTCTGAAAATCTCACGACACCCCGTACTATGATCTTCGATACGAATAGAGCGCCCTTGATTTTCCAACAAGGAGCGGGTATTGCACGTGTAGAATGGATCGATGGAGGAAGTGCCTGTTTGCAAACCCAATAAAGATCATTGTTTTCAGTTCTACAGTTCTATACGGATTCTCTTCTGCTACAAATGTGTTTGGGGTGAAGATGTAGTGCTCCAATATAAGATCGTACTTATAGCATAACCATAGAAGAACTCTAAGCAATGATAGTAAAACTCCGCATGCTTCATTAAGAAATATATACACGTAACTACACAGCAGCTATCAGTACAGTAGAAAGCACAAACCAGATCACTGTGGAAACAGTACGGCACCTCCACATCCACACCACCATCATCCAAGAAACCCTCAAACCGATAATTTTCAAAGCGGCCAGCGACGATTCTACCACACACTCTAAGCACACACAAACAACCCCTCTTATCTCGCGGTATAGCTTTCGATAGAGACACTAAAGCTGATTCTTTATGCACGGGATATTATCAACAAGATCCTTCACCCTCGCCCTATCACTTCCGAGTCCACTCCCTACAACCTCACCACCTCCGACGAGCTTCTCATCTGAGAAGTTAGCCTAATCGCAGAATCCCTCACCGTGGTTAAAATGGAATCTGAGACTTGATGTTAGTGCGCGGCTGCAGGTTAGATACTAATATTTCTGGTAGATGGAATAGAGGCCTTCGTATTTCCATGGTGATTTGTGAGTCTGTAGTTGCGGCGTTGGATGTATTTAGTAGATCTTTCGTAGATAGTGATGCTACGGAGGAAACTTGAGTTGTGGTTAACAAGGTGGATATAGAAGAGAGCGCACGAGAAGAGCGGAATGAATGATCTTGAAAAAGGAACCGGAGTTGTGATATCTGGAGCATGAAAAGTATCAATTTTGAGAGTCGAGAAAAAGGTGACAATGAGCAAAATGCTTGACATGGGAGATTTGCTCGGGCATCGATTCAACAGTGAACATCAATGTCTAGTCAAATGGAGAAGATAAGTTCCCAACGGCTTCGAATATGTAGTTTTACACAATCTACATTTGCATATCTACCACCTCACTCACAATCTCTCCCACCATAGCAGTTAGCTCAGCAGAAACATAATGCTAAAGTTAAATAGAAATGGCATACTTGCTTGACCCCTCATAAATGATACAACTTTACTTAGCTACGATTTTTCTTCAATGCCAATAAAGCCTATGGTAATCTCACATCATACATCGAACTCATCTGGCTCTCGATGCTGAGAGGATTACCTTCACTCGCGATCTTCGAGTTTTCCTCGTTACCGCTGCCGGTTATGACTCCGGTGACTCTTCGATACAACAACTCGAAGGCCATTAAACGATGAAGCACACTTGAAATTGCGAATTGGGTCATGGAGAAGGTAGAACCACACCAGGAAACAATCGAGTGATATCACGCCACAATCTCAGAAAATGAGAGGTAAAATGGACGGCACACCTAATCTAGCTAGACCTTGACGACTATGTTATCATTGAAAATATATTGTGATGCAGCGAAAATCCAAAGGTCGAAGTATACTTTGATCATCAAATCCGGAATGAGATATTGAAGAGTATGATATTAAGTATTCAGGCACCGATCTCCTCCAAATGGTTAAATCCACTATTCCAAACCCCTTTCTCGAAAATATGAAGTATCGCCGTTTGAAACCCTGTGGAAACAGGCAATTCAATCTACACTTGTCGTTCCGGAGAGAAAGGTCACTAATCAAACCCCTTCACTACTCTGTAAATGCCAAACCAAAAGGAAAGCGAACAACAAATTGATTGCCTAAGCTTGGAAAGTGGAAGCAGCTCTCGATTAGTCTTGTAATGTAGGTGTATCGAACATAAGCGATTCAATTTGTCTTTTGAAATGATGAGACTTCCCAGATGGCTGGAAGTATGCGAATGAAAGGTGGCGCGTGACTGTTGCAATTGCATGATAGACGAATAAATAGGACAGTAGAATACATCTAGATTTTTCCGATTGAAAGGTTTCCTCGTTATCCCAAGAATCTTCTGGATTTCCGAGCTTCTCAGGATTAGAAAATGGTTGAACTTAGGATAACGCGTTGACACAACATCTCACTTCGCCTAAAACTGTCAGCGGAAATGCATGAGATTGATGCCATCCCTCCTTGTGACGATTGAAGTTTTGAATCCCATGATGTGAAATTGAGACACTAGTGATGGTATAAAGCAAATCAACAGATCATAAATGTGCAGCCAGTGATGTGAAGAGAGAAGTAGACGCATTTGTACCTGCTCGCACTGCGACTAAATAGGTATCATTTTTTTATATTACGGATTCACTGCAACCAACCTGCTCCATTCGTGTACAGTTTTCTTCCCTCTCCTCCTTCCTCAAAAACACTCCGCCCTCTACTACTTAGATCACATCCATCCCGTTCGTCCTCCAATGCGACTAGTAATCTTTTTTATGCAAGATTTACTCAACCAATTTTCATCCACAAGGGCCACAACCAGCAAACAACTAATGAAACCAATGCCAAATCGTAAGATGGAAAACAATTATGCTAATTCCATACACAAGTTGCCCTTTTCCCCAATGAATCGAACACCTGCATCGCTATAAGGAAAAAGATAATGCTGCAAAGCAACAGGAAACTATAAAAGTTCGGCAGCCAAACACATTATTTGACAACGGCCTTCTGAATTACCGCCGGTCATTCATATTTTGTCCACTAAATATTGCCTAGTGGATGTATGTTGCTGAAACCAAACTGAATATACTCCCTGGATGAAAAAACACAAATTGTAGGGTATGAAAACAAAGGAAATTATTTTGAGAAAGATGTTATCAACGTAAGCCGATAACACTCATCTCCAACGTCCACACTCTTCGAATCCACACCTTTAATTTTCCCTCCACGCCTTCTACGTTCTCCAGTTCGACACCTTCCCACCAACATCTTCTTGCAGGTTTTCTCCAGAAAAGCAGAAGCTTTTGTGCCATACCTACAGCATTACTACCCATCTCGTTGCCACGGATGTCAGTTCGGAGGCGAGCTAATGCGAGACTGCATATGACAGCCTTGTTTGGTTCTCCTGCTCGGTGACCCCAATGATCGTCATGGTTGAAACCTCTATTTCTGTATTAGTTGAAAGTCTATAGGCATTCTTATCAAGAATAAACATACCCAGCAGTCAACATCTCAATCAAATGTTGTTCCGTGGTACCTGTTTCTTCACTTCTTCTTAATCCAGAAAATATACCATCTTGTTTCAACAATGCCTTCCCAGCCGCTCTCTTCACCTCTATCATCTCCGGTTGTTCGATATCAGGTCTCGGTGGAATTGCATAGAAGTCCAAGTCTTCCCTCAAAACAATTATGCCGGCTCTATCCTGTAACATTTCCCTAGCGGATCCTGCCATTGGCTCAATTGGTATAGCGTCTGCGTCTGGTCCCGGTGAGTTCGAACCCGATGGAATGGTTTGCGCCACGTTGCGAAAGAATTCAAGCATGTATTGTAAGGATGCAGGATCGTACTGAGAGAAAAGGTCAGCTATATGCATGTCTAAATTTGACAGTATATTGCGAATAAATAATAGAGTATCACGGACATCAACCTGGAAAGCATCCCCTTCGTGGTAAGTACTTAAATGGCCATCCGGTAGTAAACCATTGGGAAAGAGAGATAGGAGGACGAATTCAGGAAGTGTTAAGAGCTCATCTCGAGACAACGTAAAGCGAGTGCCCCTAAATTATGAGATTAGTAGATGCGGACAATTGATTTATATATTTTATGTATAGCCTACCGAAGGTCCATGGTGATATTCTCATCTGCGCCGACATCTAGAGATCGTCAATAATTGATTCATCCAACAATTGATGATAATCAAACCCTACCTCCGAGAGTGTTTATAGGTGCTGCACCTTGCTGCACTTGAGTAATAATACTCGCAGCTCCTCCAGCGGCCGCCATCAGATATGTGAATCCGTCGAGTGGACTTGAACCTTCCGAATATGCAGGTGGTGGTTCGCTTTCTTCGTCTTTCTTTGAGGATTCGCCTTTAGTGTCCTGCGGTAGTGCAGCTTTTGTTTCCGCCTCGACGTCTCTTGAGGAAGTAGAAGCTTCGTGAGGTTGTCGATTTTGATCGGACGCGACAAGTACGTATTCCGGAGCAGCAGGAGATGTAGATAGAGATGCGCCTGCTTCAGTGACGGCAACCTTGTAAGCCTCGACAGCTTCGGCAGTTGAAGTATAAAGGGAAGAAAAGGGTGGGGGTCGTGGTGAAGAAGGCGTAGAATGCGATGGCTCTGAATTAGGGTATCTAGGGGGTGGTGATTGAGTACGATCTAGCTCTTCCTCCAACTTCAATTCGTGCTCTCCTTCTGTAATATTATCTAGCCCAACGGACGGACCGTCGATGGCTCCTTGCGTATTGGACAACGTGGTTGCTGAGATTTTCGGGGAAGTATTTGAAAATGAGATTTGATACAAGGATTAAAATTTAATTGATTGAATTGCGGAAATTGTTTATTGGCATTGAAGTGCGAACCAGAATGTCAGTTGTGGTGCGAGATGTATTGAGTGTTGTGTATCATTGATTCTGATCGATTTAGGAGGGATTACATAAGCATCTTGGTACTATAAAGAGTTTAGCGTAATCACAAAATACCAGTGCATAACCAACTTAAGTGCTATGATTGGTAGCCGCTGAGCGCTTAGAGTTGTGTTAAGAGAATCGTTGTTATCTATCAGATGAAAGCTTAAGATTGATTATGGAATTTATACGATATGTGTGTATCATTCATCTAAATATTCTTATAAATACTTATTATTCTCTTTAAATAAAGAGTCCTATTTAGTCATTCAATTCTGCCGATTGACTTCTACGTAACCATGTTTGAATAGACATGTTTAGATATTCGTTTCTAGTACATTTATATCTGAGATTCATATTACAGATAAGCGCATCTAGACACACATGTTTAGACACCTATCTCCGATCCACTTGTATCAAGGAATTTTTAATATTAGAGGTTAAGTAGAAGGTATCATTTGGCACAAGTACTTGAGCCTCCCCTTGACTCGCCAGTGGTATAAGCACTGGATATTCCTCATACTTTGTGGTGAGCTAGTTTCATTAGACCATCTAAAGCCAAATGATAGGCTGATATCAACTCAGGCGTATAAGATGTCAATGCCAAGGCCAATATCTAGAGTACAATGAGGGCATTCGATAAAGATCAGTCATCATATACAAAGCTGCTTCTCAGATGCCTTTGCGAAGAACATTTTTCAGATTCGAATCATAAGTTTCCGGTCCAGTGTGCGCTGTCTTCACCTATTAAGTTATTTCATTGCAGGATTTCAAACCAATCCATCTTGCTCAGAGGGCAGAGGATTGATCATGGGGGATATCTAAGCAGTTACTCATTTTACCAGCAAGCTTGACACACAGGTCTAGGAGATCTTTGCAGTAGTGATAGCTCAGTCAGCTTCAACCCCCCCAGTCAGAGCAACGTCGATACATCAACAAGACCTAAATCATAATTAGTTCCAGGCATTTTCCACTCCGTTAATAGATACTGATCAATACTTCATGGAACACCTTTCTTTCCCAGCAAGCCCTCCTCGATTAAAGTTTCGAGCCAGAAGGAAACCTCCAAAATAAGTCCGGCCAATAATCGACTCCCTCACAATACTGGCAGATCTTGATATAGGCCAGTTTGTCTACAATGAACTTACTTATATCTAGATATGACTAGCGAAAGTGTCCGACAGAAACAAAATGCTTTAATCGTTGCGGTAAAAGCTAGTTCTATACGATAAAATTGGTTTAGACTGGGATCTCACTATAAATGCTAAATGATGATATCCTTTAATTTGTTTTACAATTTGCTTTCCTAATTGAACATACCGTCTTTACCATACATGGTTAATCAATTCTCAGTAGAAGCGAGGGAGCGAAGATACCTACTTAGGTAGCTATCTATCCATAAGCGAATTGTCTTTAGGCGAGGGATAGCAGATCAGTGGACGATGAATAGATATATAAATGGTATGATAGTCTTGGATATTTCTCCTCTCGGCCGAGAGTGTGAGGAGACTTGCAATATCTAATGAAGCTGGCCCGGTGTTGCCTATGCGAATTGTGCCACTGATTGTTAAGGTATGTGATCATCGGCGCTCCAAAATCGTCACATGACTTCACCAGCCTTCTTAGGATTGATCTGTAGATCTCCCGCCTGTAGCACCATAATATCACAAACTATGACGTTTCGTTCATGATTTAATCACGGTATGCATATGTTCGTGAGGGGGTCTCTGATACAGCAAACATCAAGCCAGCGTGAAGGTTTTGAAACAATCTTGGATTTGTTAGACCTGATGGGTTTGCATTTCGAGAGCACCAAGAACGGGCAATATGACAAGCATCGAAAGAACAAATATCTTATGTGTAGTTGGATGGAATAGTTAAGAGTAATACAGGATGCATGGGGTCAGAGGTCGGTGATCCGACTTCATTCACAATACAACACAAGAACAACTTTCCGAACATAGTAATAACTATCCACAAATCAAGAACTGAACTACATACAATCACGGTACTCATTACCGATAGCCCAATCTCAAATGGAAGTCAACACACGAATCGTGCGACCTCAAAACCCACAAATCAAAAGGTCCTTCAGCGGAGAAAGAAATAAGAAGAAAAGTGAACCATCAAATAGCATTGTACTGCAAAATGCATCGAAGTAGGAATCCTGGAGAGTGTTCGTATATTACCTCACCAATCCCCGCCTTCTGTATCAAGAAAAATCCATATCAACTTTGCATGGATTGAAGTTCATCCGCTGCCCCTCCATAGCCCTCCACCATCCACCATCCACAAGCCCCGCGCCACAAAATCCTTCATTTCCAGAAGGAAAACTTAAATTCCAGAGTCATCTTGTGGGAAAGGTTCAGTAGGAGTCCAAGCATTCCAAGCTGCACACGTGTCTTGGAAGGTAGACACACCAGCCGTTCCAATCGTCGGTAGAATTTTACCCTCGCTCTCGACAACTTGTAAAGCTAGACCCTCAGATGCGTGCCATGCGACATGGCAGTGCATGAGCCAAGAACCAGGGTTATCGATTTGGAAAGCGATGACTAGATGTCCGCCGTTGGGAAGTGTCATCACGTCGCGACGGGGTGGGTTCACGAGATTGAGTGCGGTGGTAGCGGTATAGACTCCGGTGCCTTGAACAATCGGTACAAAGTCCATTGCTATGACTTGGAAGCTGTGGCCATCGGTAGAAAATTGGAAATGGCCGTCGACAGCTGTGCTGACCACTCTGATGCGGTACTTCATGCCTGATTTAAAAGTAGTTTGAAACTTTTTACCAGCTCCATTATATGTGTTGATGCCGTTCATAAGACCAGTCAAGAGTGTTGGTGGTGCTCCAGTCTTGGCTTTGTCCCAGAGTGATTGAACAGGTACGTGATTCCAGTAATTCCAAAACAGCATACCAAGATCAACATCGTAGTTGGCGGTTGCAGGGCCGTTAATAACGAGTGGGCCGAAGAATCCATCACCATATTGAAGAATAAAATGGGAGTGATACCAGGAGCTACCATAGTTGCCTGCGTAAAACTTGTATGTGAGAGTATCCCCAGGAGCAATTGGGCATTGTGTGATACCTGCGGAGATTGTTATTTTATGATTTAGAATGGAATATGGCCATTTTTACCTGGAACTCCGTCATACTGAGCGTTGTTCAACTGTCTGATACCATGCCAGTGAATCGATGTTCCGTTGTCAGTGAGTTTATTCGTAGCGTGGACGATAACATTATCACCCCAGTCTGCCGTGATTTGAGGTCCCGGGGTGGTACCATCGAAGTTAAGAGTCGGGCAAGCAACTCCATCAGCACTGAGAGTTGTGTTCTGGACGACCAGCCAGTACTACACATTACAATGAGCTATGATCCCTGAGGGAAGAAGGTTCAAGTTGTCAATCTTACCCCTCTAGTCACACCTGTTTGTGGTACAGTAGTGTAAGTATTTGTAGATGCCTAATACTGTCCCCAATAACTCCTGGTTGTTGCAATATTGGCACAACTTTGACGTGCTTCAAGAGCGGATGGGATAACTTCTGCTGTTGGCAATGCCACAGCTAAAGAAAGTGAGGCAAACTTTGCCATTGAACTAAAGAATGAGTTCTTCATCATGAATATAAGGGGGTTTCGACAAGACTCGGGAGAAGAGAGAAAGAGCTGGTTGATTTGGAAACTGAAGACAACGCCATCATTCACACTCTTTATGTAGTCGACTAGATGCTACTTGTCTGCTTAACTATCACCGATAAACTACCAATTTTCATTTCTTTCCTTGTGAAGATGAGTAGAACCTCGGATACTACGACGATATCCTCATCTTTCGTCTCCACGTCTGTACGTCGAAGGGAGAAGGTCGCATCTCGCAATTGCAGACGAGGTTGTCACCCCCTCCCACACAAAGTAAACTCTTTCATGAGCTCCATTAAGCCAAAACTCAATAGCATTTGATAGGTGGTATTTTCAATAATGCAGTGGAAAGGCTTGGGGTGTGCATTGCGAAATATCGAAATTTGTACCTGATTAGAAACCCTTGATGTCGATAACATTGAAGCTAACCGATGCTTGTGATATCTTCCAGAATGGATATCAAAATGAGATTTTTCAAAGTAGTGGCGCTAATAGGCGTACACTGATGCGAGCTGCATATTTTCGTTAGTATGAAGTTCCATCTTAGCATCTTAGGTTGCACTTCTCGGGGATTTTGGCAACATGGAAGCTAAGTTTTGGCTCATGTAAGCGCGGTTAGCTCGTACTTTATTGACGAAAAACCGTTAATTTCACTTGTCATCGAGAACGTTCAGTATAGTCTTCTCAGGAAGCAAAACTTTCGAAAATTTCAGAGAACATCTCACCTAATTCTATAGTTTACCAACTTGAAGATCTTCGCCGTATACGCAATGTCTACGCAACATCTACGCAATGATATTTGGAGATATATTAGTAGGATTGAGTTCCCAAGGTTCTGAAGAAAAGGTGTTGATAGCCATGTAGATGCAGAGCTTACTTCATGTTAGCGCAAGGGGTAACGAGAGGGGTTACCTGTATCATATTGGAAAACGCCATACATCTATTCCCGCGGCGCTACGAGCTGCGATTGCAACAATACCTCGTGAACCTATTGTGGTTGGAACAACTAGATCGTCAGATGAATGAAAGAACAAGCATCCACAGGGGCCTGCTTCATGTGTGTCTATGCTGGTCAAACTTTGGCTGATTCGTGCGTTAATATTGCTTAAGCAATGTGTATTGCACCGCGCTCAAAGATTATCTCGTAGGAAGCGTAAACTTGTCACTTGAAGCAATTTTTGCTGCTTTGGCGATAAACTTCCTTCCCAATACTCATTAGCCAGGCGCCAAGAGACCTGACAGAAAGTTCACGATGCAGCTACAGAGTCAACTTGAACTTTTGTGATAGACTTCACGGACCCGTTCACTTATGCCAAGCATAAGAAAAGTTCTCATGCTACGAGAAGTTAACTCTGCATAGGGCAATTTGATGCTTCGGGACATTGTAACGAACAGGTTGACGACGACTCTCTATCTGGTGGAAGGGTGAGGCTGATAATGTGTATGTCACGTTCTCATCGACTCCCGTTAAATACGACAATACACATCGTTGTGATAAGATGGACAGGGAAATTTTGATACTAGATCTCACGCGTGGAGCCGAGTGCCAATACTTCCCCTGATATTCATCTTTGCAAGCTGTCTAGAATACAAGTATTGTTCTCCCGGATATGCAGAGAGAGGCGCTTCCTTCGACAGGAGAAGAACATACATTCTAAGAAAAGATCGTTGATGCTGGGCCGTTGGATATTCATCGGCCACCAAGGTTTCCTTGCGTGTATTATTTTGCCAACCAAACGCCATGATGAACTCTCTCATTTCCTCTTGGTCAAAATCCATGTATATTGTGAGTAGAAAGAAGGCCATTGTTTTCCGCATAGGAAACTCACGGAAGCATGCTTCCTAGAATGTTGTTAGCATCGCTAATTTAGCATTAAAATAACTTGACAGGTTGAATCAAACTTACTACGATTTCAATCCATTGTTAGGATTCTTCGGATCAGTCACGTATCAATGCAACCGCCACCTTCCATCCCGGGTATAGAATTCCTTGTGAAGTAACCTTGAATACGTACCCCATACACGTTTTTTTAACTTGTCAAAAAGATACACATTTGTTCATAGATTATCTAAATTTTGAATAAAACTTAGAATGTAAAGATAGAAAGTGCAACAGGTTCACTAGCATACCGAGTCTTCTAGAGAGGTGATGGGGTTCACATTATCGTGAGAATAAGGATGAATAGATCACATGACCCATGTAACATGAGAAGACGAATAGTTTCTGCGACCGTGCCCGAAGGGTTTAAAGTTGAATCGTTTTTCATGCATGATGCAGATGTGCAGGGAGTGAGATGCAATAGTGGAAAGTAAGGTTAAAGTCTATGGAGACAGACACATAAAGATGCGGAAAGGATTGAGGAGGGAGTTAGCATGTGTGAGCCGGATTTGGAGGGTATTTTCAGTATCAGACGGCAGCGAGAAGCTGGCCTGCGAAATACCTATAGATGCAGCCCAATTCTTGGTGACGAATCTACAATATAGCAAAGGATGCTTCGAAGGACGTAGAAAATACTGCATACCTGACAAGATAACGAGATAATTGCAAATGCCCTTTATCCAAAATATGGAAGAATGGTGTGGCACTCGTCAAGTAACATTCATGGGCAGTGGTTTGTGTACCCCAAGGACCCTCAGATGAGTCGAAAGCTGCAAAAGTATGAGCATGCAGGAATGCCAAGAGAATCATGATAAGATCGGAGATTGACAGAGAAACTTCCCCCGGTCGCATCCCGCACCATACATACCAGCACCTAAGAATGTTTGGAGCTGGAGAGGTGGAAGATCATTGATGGAATAATGCATTAAAAGCCGAACTGAAGATAGCCAAAGACTGAAGTGGTTCTGAACAGGCAAAATATGATCACTAGTATACACCCACGAGAGCCATGCCATGTAGTAGTGACTAGAATGTCGATGCATCAATGCATGGAAATATAGAAAAGGGAGAAACGAAAAAAGCAAAGGGAAAGTTAGGAGAAAGAACGAAGAAGAAGACATATACGATACGCACACTGACGATGTTTCTACTTTGGTAGTCACTAAACACCTAATTTAGTATCTAGGTACTCGCTACTCGTGTCCGTATTGAAGGGTCGTTGGCGAGGTTACAGTGGGTGTGTGGTTGTCGAGCTCAAACATCTACAGGCAGTCAGACGCAAGAACATTTCCATGCGCAAAAATACCTACCTACATATTCTTGAGATGTCTTTACGAAGTCGACTTTCAATATGATGGACAATCATTTGAGGCATTGAAAGATGGCTTTCTTCTTTATATTTCTTCATACCGAGTCAATGTGTCACGGGAATACACGGCAGCACCTCATGGTCTGTAAGTTCATCGTATCAGAGCTGATTAGCGGCATCGAGTTGACGCTATTTTATCATTTTAGCGGATTTCAACTAGTTGAAAGAACCCAAGCATTTGAAGACCCTTGCTACATCGAAACCAGCTTACCACTTTCTTGCTGACTAATTAGGTAATCTAGTGTGGACAAGGCAATGTCGTCTATTGCACGTTTTATGGTGAAAGTTGATTGCATACTCCTCGGCATTGTTCAAACAACTACCGCACACAATCCGCAGACATCCGAACGTTGAACATCGCGCTACATGGAATAAATGATTGCTTTCTAGGGCTATATTGCTAGGGCTTTATAGAAAAGCATCTCTTCACCATTCGAAGTCGAATGGAAAGTGTACATTGTACCCTGGAACTAAAGTGGTCTAGAATATTCAAGGCGTCTAGTTTGCTCTGTCACAAAGCATAGCACAACACTGTATCTTTCAATCTAAATATTAAAATGCTGTCAAAACCCCAGCAATTAATAATCCATTTTGATGATTGCTTCAAGTGCAGAATTTACCTCACTTTAACCCCATTTTTGGGTATTACATCGTATAAGTATTCGCGCGAAGGATCATTTACCGCCAGACATGGCCCGTTATCCCAACCTAAATCTCGTCTGAACATGAATTAAATGTCAATAACAGACTTCAAAAGGATGAAGTGATGAGGAAATGTCTAGTGGTAGTCTACAGGGCGGAAATAGGATGGCGCTATCGGGGGAGTTCCCTTCCTGTTCGCCAAGCTCGTTCAAGTGTACTGCGATGAAGATATATATCGATCATTGCTCCACAACTTGTAGGTGAATGAGAATCAAATTACGCTCATTAGAGTTTTAACTCTTCTTCTACTCTTTGAGGTCATTACTCGTCATTCTACCATCACGAAAGCCTCTCTTCTGCTTCCACAATCGCATAGACTTACTCCATCCTTCTCAAAATGAAAATCCAACCACAACTCCTCACAGTTCTCCCACTTCTTATCCTTTCCGCCAACGCTTGTCTTACCGTACTTTCCGAATGGCTGATCGAAGGCTGGCAAGGTATCGTTATGGACAATTCCTGGCCTCGATGCTATAATCAATGGGTTGCCTCCGACGTCGTGCCCGATGCAACGACAGGGAAGAATTTTACTCTCACAGGCTGTGATGAGGGTTACAGCGCAACAATATTCATCAAGACGGGACCGAATGCGCAGTCGAAGCTGATTGAATATAAGACACCTTATAAGTCGTTTGGTCCTTATGACATGGGGGCAACTGAGGATCCATATACGGCCCAAACGATACAATATAAGTGGATGAGAACTTGGTGTTAGTGGCTTCGTTGACGTGGATTTGCTGTTCGGATTGAGTGTGTCTGTTCAAATTTGGTGATGTGGTCTTTGTGTTGCAAAATGTATTTTTCGGATATGGTATTGAAGGTCGTGCTGGGCTAGCCCTGTATTCGGGGGCGATGAGAGTTGCAGCTAGTCTAAAGATTGTGATTAGGTGTCAGGTTCTTGTTCAGAGATTATTATCGAGTCTTACTCTAGTACATATATTCTTTCATGCAAATAAAACCGGGCTCGTTATTCCATTCATTATGGAGACAAGTTTTTCAATTCTATCAACATCATTTTGCACATAAAGTAACATCCATTGGTAGGTCGCAAGAGTCCTGAAACATACTCTCCTCACGATTTTCATCAAAAAGATTTTCTAAAGTTCAGCATAACGCTTTTGATCATTCGTTCATCCACTAAAAGCTTGTATCAAAGTAAACTCGTCAATTGACAGACGCTCTCCCTACCTTACCCCTAACTCTCTCTGTCCTTTACACTCTGGAATCAGATCCATATACCCTTACACTCAAGGTTTCTCATAGTCCGAGCTATTGGACGACCCGTTATGAGCTTCGATATCCAGAAGTGAAACAACAGTCTAAATGGATGCAGTATTTTAAACTAATCGAATCATTCAGTTGCGTTACAAATCTGGAAGCATCGGGCATCAAACTGCACTACAATGTAACGGGACTCCTATCTATGCTTTGCAATTAACATCTGCTAAGCCCTACGCCCAGAGGAATACTAATTATAATGTTCAATTTATATATACGTATATGACATGAAATATATCAGAAGCGATCCATGACGAGCTTCTATATGATACTCTCGGGGAAGGGCGTTTGATTGACGCAAGTACGGAAGCACCACTATCATACACACCTCCATCGGCTCTTTATGAGAAAGAATGAAAGGTATTGAGTAAATAGCTAAAAGCAGATGGAATGTGAATGTATTCACATCCATTTCTTCACACACTCGGAAGATTTACGATGTTCAAAAGTCTGTGGAAATGTAACATAAAGGTGGCTATTGAAATGACTTTTTACTGGTAGAAATTCTACAGAGAAATGACTAAAAGAGGCAATTAGGGGGTGAGGAACGGTAGTAGCATAACAACAAGTAAATTTCAGAATCTTTCCCTCAAACATCAACTTCTCATGAAATATTCGTAGTACACTGAACAGACAGCGTTCAATCATTTGCCCCCCAAAATTCTTGGACTATCGTCAGATTATTGACAAAGAGGCCTAAACTTCAAACATTAAGATAAGAGCAAGTTTTATGATCAATAGAGATTTCAAAATTCATATATAACGAAAGAAGGGGAGGTTATTACTATGCCACCCCATCGCGCCCCTATGAACCTCTCGACCCCATCCCACAAGCTTCAAGGCTAACCCAGGGCTCGCATCAAAAACGCCTCTCGTCTTTCGTCAATCTCATATGCTTCGTTATATTTCCCTCACATCGCGCGCCTCACAATCGTATTACCCACCCATTTCATCCTCACTTACACAACATCCACTAAAACGACCTCAGTGAACCCTCCATCTCCCCAAATACCCACAACACTCATCGCAAAGCCCAAGCCGGCAACGACAGTCCTGACGACTTGGCTGGCCATGAAGCCCTCCATCTCCTCTCTCACTTCTTCACCATTGACATTATCATCCATTTCCTCTTCACTGCTCGCCAACCCCGCACTTTCATAATCCCTCGCGCTCTTGCTCAACACCTCGTAACTTGCATCCATTTGTCTGGGGCTCATAGGTTTCTTTGATCGTTTCTTCTGTGCAATGCGTCTTGGACCTGTGGAGCCTATGGCAAGTGGGATGAGTTTATCAACGATTGAGCTTGAGGCGGCGAAGAGTGAGGTCCAGAGGAGATATGGATGTCTTTGTCCTCGAGGTGAGAAATAAAAGGCGAGAAGGAAAGACCATGATGAAATGAATGTGAGCGCACGAGTATGTGTTGTGGCGAGAGTAGTCAGGGAGCTGTAGGAACGAGATGCGAGAGTGGCGGAGGGGAGGGTTAGGAAGGCTGGAATCGTGAGAGATGAAAGGGTATAAGAAACGCCCTGTTTTTCAAATTTGTCAGTCTACTGAATTCAACAATGGACTGAGAGGATAGGAGATGAGAATAGAGTAATAGATATGAACAAGCTGTGAAGTCTGGAATGACAAGCTATAGTGGGGTGATGCAAGCAACTTACAGTAAGTAGGCCAAGGGAAATCGATCCCACAAACTTCAGAGTCGAAACAGACTTTGTAGACATCTTGTCACCGATTTAATATCCTTCTCAGATATGTTCTTACCGCAGGATTGTTCAATACACAAAGATAGTGTGATGAAAATAAACTGGGATCTATAAGTTGTTGATTCGATTAGGTGTTTATTTAATCAGCTTAGTGGAAATAGAAGTATGGCATTATGTAATCACATTTTGGCTTCCGGAATTTGTCAATGAATACCGCTGGACCGAGGCTTGAAACCCCGGATTTTGTACGTAGATAGCTCATGTCTTACTTTCGTTCAGTAATCCAAGTGACTTGAGTTTTCCCCATTGATCACAAGCTGTTGTGTATTCAGGAACCAAACATTTATATCATCAATTCTGCCTCAAACTTCCAAACAAACCCCTTTGATCCTCAAAGATATAAACGAACATGGCTCTACCTCGATCAGAATATCTCTCCGACGTCTGGCGGGACGGTATCTTCGGTATGGAGTTCTCACAGATAGCGCAATCTGCTTTATTTGCGCACGCTAATCATATTTTCCTTAGACAACAAAGTCGTCTTCTGTACTGGCGGAGCAGGTACGATATGTTCCGCTCAAGTGCGCGCAATGGTTCACCTAGGCGCCAACGCGTGTATTATCGGACGCAATCCATCCAAGACTGAATCTATGGCCAAATCCATTGAGACTGCACGTTCCGGATCGAAAGTCATTGGAATCGGCGGTGTGGATGTGAGAAACATAAAGAATTTGGAGAGTGCGGTAGAGACATGCGTAAAGGAATTAGGGAGCATTGACTTTGTTATGTACGATTGCTTAACCCATTCCCCTTTCCCTCACTTGTATCAATGACGTGTTTTAACATGACCACGCCAACAGCGCTGGAGCAGCAGGAAATTTTATTTCACCCCTCGAAGGTCTCTCCTCGAACGCTTTCCGAACTGTCCTTGAAATCGACACTCTCGGCTCTTTCAACACCCTCAAAGCTACTCTCCCACACCTCATAAAATCCGCCTCTGCCCATCCAAACAAAGCTTCTAACCCCAACACTGGAGGCCGCATAATTTTCATCTCTGCCACGTTCCATTTCACTGGAATGGCACTTCAGGGACACGCAGCAGCAGCAAAAGCAGGCGTCGACGCTATTTCTGCAACGGCCGCCTTGGAATACGGTCCAAGGGGAATAACTAGTAATGTGATTACTCCAGGACCCATAGAAGGAACGGAGGGAATGGCAAGGCTGGGCGATAAGGAGAGCGAAGCTAGCGGAGATGCGCAAAGAAGAAATCCATTGGGGAGATATGGCACAGTAAAGGAAATTGCAGATGGTACTGTGTACTTGTTCAGCGATGCAGGCAGCTTTGTCAATGGTGAAGTTTTGGTTATTGACGGAGGAAATTGTACGTTTTATTATTTCCTAATACTTCATTCCCCCATCCACTTCATTCACCCTCGCTGAATTATTTCTACTAACCGAGTTTAAATAGGGAGGCACCCGGGAGGAATGGCGGGAGCAAAGAGATACCCCGATTATTTACTAGACGATACATTCGTGCGAAGAAAGGAGTCGAAGTTGTGAAATGCGGGGTTACAGTACACGCTGCACGCTGTGGTGAGCTGCTATATTGGGATTGAGACATGTAATGCGATAGACATTTTGTATTCTGGCCGAATTGGGTCTTTAATTGGCGATTCTCGTCTAACTACCAGGTTCCGATGTCTATTCTAGCTTCTATATGATCGTAACATCATTATGGCATCGCATCATCCATTATGAATACCTGCCTTGATCTTTTCCGCCACATCATAAAAAAGCACGCGGCCGCATCCTCCAATTCCCTTCCAAGGTTTCATTCACTGGGTCATACGTAATCCCCAAGCCACACCCAAACTCAGTTTTCTTCCCCACCATCGCCTATACCGACGAGTGTTGATAAAGTGTAAATCAGGGATCTACCAATAAATGCCCTCTAACATATTCCAACACCAAAGCGCAATTGGATCCCCAACGTCTTTCAAGTCCCGAATCCAATCCAACATTAAGCTCACAGTGTCATCAATCTCTGCATGGTACCGCTCCCCACACATGTTATCACAGATATCCTTGAGCATCAAGTTGCCTTTCGACAGATGCACAATGAGTAAGATGCTAAGGAATATCTGAGACCAGGTGAAGAGGTAGGGTATTAGACGTTTGCAACGGGATGGGGGTGAGAGGAGAATGGGCCACAGGAGACAGGACTGGTGGGTGTTGTTAATAGGGGCGAAACGCAGACAAAGGTGATAGTAAAATGGAAAGGGAGAAAGATGGAAGTAGAGATAACATACTCGTAGACATTCCGCGACATTTTGGGCATCCTCCGGCGTCACCAATTCCGGAGAATGTAATACTTTATACACAAATGGTCGATAAACCATATATTTGGCATAATAGTATCTAGTCCTAAGTGTTGCAACTTGTATGTCATATGCATAAGGATACCTGACCGGTTCCTCGTCGATGTCAGTGGAGAAGAGAGCCGGACGAGGAGTTTGTTGTGATATTGGAGATGTAAAATTTGGATCAATATTCCCGATATCTCGTTCAGGCGTTTGCACGTAAGGAAAACTCGCGGGTTCATCTTCTGCCCATTGGAGTGCAGTGGGGAGTAGGCCGCGCCATTGAGTTAGCTGAAATGCGAGCTGCCGAACTCCAGCTGCGGTTAGGAAGGTGTAGCCTTCTGAGCAAGAGGATTTGGCGTCCATCTTGGCCACTTTGGTTGAGGAGTCAGTTTATCCAAAATGGTGAAAAAAGTTCGCGAATCGCGTGCTTACTCTCGGAAATTCCATTCTGCATCTGGACGCAAATTCTTCGTAATGCCAGCACTGAAGAACTATGTGCTTGCCAGTTGGATTCCTGGTCCCCCATTAAATCGTCTTCACAAAACGGCATGGGAAAAAGTGGCATCTCCATGTGCGTCTCGAGATTCATCATAGAGGTAAGCGGCAAATCTATGTCGAGGTGTAAAGTCCTGTTATCTCTCAATAGAATGAAAGGAAATTCAAGTATCAAAGCACTCACGTCTCCATGGTGGCACAATGCCAATACGCACGTTTGATAAGGTCGCCCTTCGGAGATTTCCAGTCAAAGCTATCCCTATAGTTCGGTCAGCAAGCTTTGAGAAGGAAGGAGAATTGGTGTGCTGACGACGTGATAAGCGTATCACATGCTGATGAAGCAGAAACCATCGTCCTCCAAAAGTCCTACGATTACATCAACTGCCACTCGTTCAAGTTTTTGGTTCCAATATTTACCAGATGGCGGTAACAGGATTGGTAATATAGTCTACGTCAAGTATTAAATTAGTCGAGTTCGACAAACTCATATCAATTGAAATTGAAACGCACGCTGTCAGGAAAAACATCTGCACATTCTCAAGACTGCATTCTGTCAAGACACAGCCAATTCTTTTCATCGCTTCATTAAAAAAGGATAGTCCTGGTGGTTTGGACGGCCCCGACCCGCCTCTGATGCCACTAGGCCGTGCTTGGTAGATATCGACAGGGGAGCCGCAAGATCCTTCAAGCGCTACTTCTCCAAGCGCGAATATTAGCAAGGCAATAACGGATTCCATATCTCTATCGAATCCCTCAGATACCACTTTCACTAAAGTATCAGAAAGGAAAGTTTGTCTATCCATGAAAGGGTATAGAAAATTGAACGTATCGAAATAAGACACCGCCAGTTGAAGCATAGCTTCCTGGGACAAGCCCGGAAATGTTGTTCGCGAGCCTCCAACAACTCTACTCGCCAACGATTGCATGCCTACAAATGGTTTCTCTTGTAGATCTATATCTAAGGACAGTGGAGGTCTTGGGGCCTGTGTTCTGACCATGAATACTGACCCCCTTTCCAGAAATGTGCCGCTGCCATTGTTTGGTGGCGCAGCTTGTAGAAGAAGTTGCTGTATAGCTGGCCATAACAAAACCTTGTGAGACGCAGTATGGTGACGGTATATAGAGTTTGTATGTATTCGACCTGTATTTATTTCGTTTGGGTGTGAGAACGAGGTCGCGAACGCATGTCCCTCGGCTTTTAAGCTAAGGGGTTCGTTCAATGATGATTGAGTATGTGGCGTCTGACTTGGCTTGAACTCTGGGATGCCCATCGAGAGTTGAGGAAATTGTTCGAGTATACTTTCTATATTTTTCACTCGATCCAGTATCTCAACCATGGTTTTGTCTTTCCTATGACGCTCTCAGTCAGGTCAAATACAGATGAGAAGACTAAAACATTTCAAATTCCGTTCGCAGTATCGAATCGTCCGTGGTATGCCTTGCAGCACTTACTTTGTCGGTACGGGCTCCCTATAGTTGCAGTCTATCTTCAAGCGCGTACAAAGACCGCACTTTGGGCGGTTCTCGTCACATCTCTGCTTCCGTTGTCGACAGACATCACAAGCCTTGAGAAGTCAAACGTCAGCCGTCCTCCAACAATAGAATAACACAATACATTCACAGGTGTCATAGCATTAGGCATTTCTTAGAAAGGGCGCATGAAGAATGTGGCGAATGGAAAAGCACCAACCTGGCTCGCGATCGGTCCTCTGTCCTTCCGTACTGGAGCTGCCCCGGGAGTGGAACTAGATACAGAGTCTTGGTTCATTGGAACTTATTTCTTTCGCCCAGGGGTTCCGTGGATGCAAAGGATTATGTGATGTGTTCTTGATAGGTGGTTTATCGTATCCCTTCGGGGTTGTGTCGCATTCGTTTCCAGTCCGCTCAACGAGGATAGAGCATAGCGCTATAACTTCTGTAAAAGAATTTCTTTGACTGCCTTTTATGGAATCGTTGCTGGATAACCAAGTTATATTTGATGCTGATATTATAGTCGATATTGCTGCCACTTTCGTTATCCACGGTCGCTGTTGGATCATTTAGACACCGGGTACCTAGTACTCAGGGTTACTTTTTCGAAAGAATTGACCCAAATGATGGGAACATGTATAATGATATGCGAAAGTGATTCTTCTCCCCAAAAAGGATTATAAACTTTGTTCTCGCTTTGTCAAAAGAAAAAATGTGATGATATTCGGGCTTAGCGACGACTACTATGTATAAATTGCATCACAAAAACGAATTGACGGATTGACTATTCGTCTATCATATTTATTCCAAATTGCAAGGTTGCATAAAAGGGATCTGAATTCTGTGGAGATGCCTCCGATCAAAGCCTCCGATCAAACAACATGGGAGATTGATCAAGTTGAACACCACCGGTGATGATGTCCGCCTCCGAAGGCATTTATACCGATTTTGAATCTAATTCAATGAAAGAACATGGTTCTCTTTTATGTAATATGGAACAAAAGGGTTCCTTCAACTTAGCTTCGTTACATAAGCAATGAGTAAGCCCATAAACATGGAATGGCGAGAGGGCAAGGAGGCGAAGTTGAATAGTTCTTATTAATCCATTAACTTCTTTACCATCTTTGACTTCTTTGAGGGCTTATCATCAATGATAATGACATTTTAATGACATTTTAATGGAGTTCATGACGACGAAAGCAAGAACTAAATGAATAGCGGTGACATCACAATGTCATACATCTAGTTATTCTAAGGTTGTTCATAGAAGCACTACCTCTGCCCAGGCGGGGTGGTCGTACTAGACATACGAGGTATACGAGGTAGATAGGAGGAGCTCGAGAGGAGGTAGGCAATTAGGATATTCTGGATCATATAATATAGAGTACAGAGTACAAATCTTCGTTACAGATTAAAGGGAAAACAGTCTAGAGATAGAGCAAAATGGTAAGATTATTCAGATATACAGATCAGGTATGTTGCGTATGGAACATATGTTCTTGTTGCCATATATAAATGTTACCTAACTTAGAGACAGACAACAATGCTACGTCACGCTTTTGATGAACAGGAGATGTCTCCGTCATGCCATTCATCCCCACTAATTTTTGGCATGACAAGAGTTGTTCTGTTACATCAGGCGTTCGTAATAACGAACGACAACAACAACAACAACATCAGCAATGGAGGAGTACAACTCGACTAGCACGACATTGAGATTATGCGCAAATTGTACGATTGTGCATCGTATCATATGGAGTCTGTATATCATATTCTGTTTACTGGATTGAGCAGTAGGTAGACAGACATTAGCCTAGAGAGATACCTCCGGCTCCTCCTTCCGAGTCCTTCGCCCTATAAGTTTCTCACTCAATAGCGAATCTCGACCGATTTATCGTCATTCGTGCAAATAATTTTCTTTGGGGGTGCACTAGCAGATTATTTGTCTTGATTTATGATGCTGTGACAAGTCGTCCGTCCGGAGCTCGCTCCGTCAATCTTATTTGGGGATGCGCTTTACACGCGAGAGATCTGAAGTCACTCTATACACTTACTGTTCTCATAGTCCTCTCATGTCTTGCAAACTTTCTTGATCTGTTGATCTCGGCTTGTAATAGTGCTGCCGGCCGATAGCATGAGTGTGACGTCGGCACGGAATGGCCGAAAACTCCAAGCCGATACATACCTCTTTGCGGATGATATTCCTTTCACCAACTCAAAATTGGCCCTTGCTCGTGGCATGGTTATTCGAGGAATGAAACATCGCTACCACCTTGTCAAACTTCAGTGTTCTTTTCAGAATATTGCATCAGCGTATCTTTACGAATTTTGATCAATTGTGACGACTGACAATATCAGCTTGTCGACCGTTGACTTCTTGAATCCTTTCATGTATGAGTTCAAACTAACAATTTCCTCTGACAATCACTAGAAAATGATCACCCAAGTAGTTCAACTAGCCAGTCAACACCCCTCAACAAGGTAATGTATCGTCTTGGCGGTCCATCACATTACCTGGGATAAATATATTGGTAAGTTTTGCCAACTACGTTTAATTAATGGAACAGATACACAAAGCGTTTGCAACCCTTTCCATGAAAGCCTCAGATCGCTGGCGCGAGTTGATCGTTTCAATGTCACTGAATACCACGATGGCGGGACCATTATTTCTTCCAGGAACCCATGTGAAATGTCCTCAGAGCCCCATTATTGGACGTTGTTCTTTCTTCGTTGAATGTACAGAGATTGGATAGTTTCGCGTCCCCTTTCCTCCTGGACTTTAACATCGTAGATGACGCTTCTTTGCTCGACCTCGTGGAAGCTGAAAGGTGAAAATGACAATCTGGTTCATCCTGTAACAATCTTGGGAGACGAATATATAAAGGGCCCCCGCTGACGGTATTATTCCCTCAATCCAATCCATTTATCTCTCCAAACATATAAGTTCCTAGCTTACAGCCTACAGTCATCATAAACAAATCAGTCCAGCCCCTCAAGATGCATTTCCAACGATTCGTCATCGCAGCAATCGTTCTCCCACTCGCTATTGCGGCTCCCATCGCTGTAAGTCTTGATTAGCATGCTCACACCTTCCAAGTACTAACAACCACCTTAGAATACCGCGAGCCAGAACAAGAACTCTCAAGTCATCCAACAGAATGACAAATATGATGCAAGTCTTCTTCCCCACAGCCGCTCACTTTTATCTACATAACTAGAAAGTCATTTCTAACACGCTAGTAAACCTAGGGGGTTGCATCCACATCAGTCACTCTCCGAGCACGTCAACTTTTGTGGACATTCTTGGCTCCCTTTGGGCTAGAGCCTGTTGTTGACGGGATCAACGATACACTCTTAGCACTTGGAGCTAAGTAAATGGAGATGCTGGAAATTGTGCTCTCGCTGATTGAGATAGCACATGCACGAATGGAGGGAAGAAGCGGCTTTGTTCTGCTAGAGGGTAGATGACCTGACAGGGGGGTCGAATTCTGGATTTAGCAGTGATTGTTATTTGTCGTGTGTTGAGTTTTACGGAAGCAACTTTGTATCTTCAATGGAGTCAATGTAGCGATCTTCTTTACGGTATTCGTGTTGTAGAGGAAAGATGATCAAGTTACATTACCTCAGAGCATTGCTTTCCGTTCAAATATTGTCTTCATGTTTATGATTCATGGTTTGAGATACAGTCAACCCTATCCTACAAGCTAAAATTTGGCTCCAAGACTAGTACCGCCGGACAAGATATCCGCCACAACTGATGATGTCGCAAAACCGTTGGCTAGATCTGCCGTCATATAGAAATGTTAAACCTATATCACACAAATCATACACGACATCCACGCAGCCCTTTTCCCTCTCAAGATTGTCATTAAGCATTCAGGGTAGCATCTGCGCCGGTGTTTGAAGATTGATACCTTTGGAGGTTGAAGTTATTTGGTACGATAATGCACAGCACTATTGGTATCCGAGTGGAACAAAATGGGATATCATTATTTCCTTTAATGAATTGCATAGGTTCCACGAAAGGCGAATGATCCCCGGACGCAATAAGTTGTATACGGAAGATGCTTGCATACTCAATCGAATTCTGAATTGTGACGTCTGCTTTAGTGTATTACTGAGTGCAGAGACTGATATTTGGATATAGAATTTGTAGCCAAAGTTCGTGTCTAATATAACTGGATGTGAACATTAAAAATGAATTGATGAATGGGTTGCAACCTTATCTAGATCCTAACCACACCAATCTATTTCATTCCCACTTAGCGCAAATTTTTCGAATCCTCTCAATCAATATCTCAAGGCTGTCTACAATTGCAGGATTGTCAATAGAATGCTACACGGGCCTAGCTTCGCCTGCAGGAACCGAGACTGGAATAACGTATCCGAAGAATGTGAATCTAGCTAAGGTCCTCGTCCTCGTCCGCATCCAAATCAAAAATCAGCGCTGCCTCGTCGACCTTGAAACTTCTGCTTCGAAACTCTTTCGATGTTTCTTGCAATATACCATATACGCGTCTAGCTTCCACCGGATGATTTTTGATTGCCATTGATGTATCCTTTAAATCAAGCTGCTTTCCTTAGCAGATTTCATTACGTCTTCATCGGCGTCTCTCAGCTTTTCCTCCAATTCATCACTGTCCGAGTGAGCTTTCAACATTTCGTCCTCGATATTCCTCAACACTTCCTCCAAGTTGCTATTATTCTCGACGCCTTTTCTCGCATCTACTTCAACTTTTGCCGGCGCGTATTTCTCAATATCGGTAACCGTGTTGTCCAAACTATCATTTTCCTCAGAAGCTCTTGCTGCATCTTCCTCGGCCCCTCTCAGCGAGGTATTTGATCCAAAATCGTCTTCAATATCTCTCAACGGGTCTTCTAATCTTTTAGCCAGATGCAGAAGATGACGATCTAGTCCCGTTCCTGCCAGGATCGTCACACCAAACGGCAAGAACTCAGTGTCACCCATTTCAACCCTATAAGTCCCGCAAGGAAGCGCTACAGCTACTAGGTCCAGAACATTGGCAAAATGAGCAAAGGCGCCAAGTTTTTCATTGATGCGAATGGGATCTTTCGATACTTCTTTAATGGTGGGGTGAAAAGGTGCAGTGGGAACTACCATGACAGTCAACTCGTGAGAATCATCTAGCGTGAGAATGTCTTCGACCATTCTTTTGTATTTTGCCTGCTTTTGCAGATCTTTGAATACATCAATGGCCGTGCTCTTACGTGCAAGAGCATTCTCGAAAACAGAGCGAATGACTGGGTGAAGTGTGTCTTTATTCTTGTCGAACCAGCCATCGGGTAGTGTTGTAAGTCGCTCCAGAACGAACGTACCGCCGTAAAGAAGCTCGTTCGCGGATGCGAAAGGCGTCCAGTCTATATCTATTCGCCGGCCGCCCAGCTCTTCCAGAATTGCAATTACAAGTTTGAACTGCTTCTGAAAGATGGGGTGACACACTTCAAGCGCAGAGTCCGGTGGTGTACCAAACTTAAAAGATGGCAAAGTATCTTCAGAATCTCTTGCATCCTCGGAGTATAATCGTGATGAGATATGGAATGGTGGAGGTTTGGCAAAATAGTCTTCTTTATCAAATCCCTGGCTTACCCTCCAAACTTTTTCAATGACTTCCGAAGTGACACCCAGGAAAGAGACACAATCTTGATGAAGACAAGCTGGCGCAACACCTTGAGCTGAAACAGTTCCTTTGGTGGGTTTGAATCCAACAATATTGTTAAACATTGCGGGAATTCGAATCGAGCCTGCGGTATCACTGCCCAAAGAAAATGACACTAAGCCTTCTGCAACACTTATGGCACTACCGCTACTCGATCCACCAACAACGTAATCTGGGCTGAGAACTGAGTGCAGCGTGCCAAATGAAGATCTGCAACCTGTCATGCCAGTGGCTAGCTGATCCATGTTTGTCTTCCCAATAAATAGTGCACCGGCGTCGATACATCGTTGATAGACTAGTGATGAAGAGTTAGGAGTGTATGCAAGTGTTTGACATCCAATCGTGGTGGGAATCCCAGCAATGTTAAAGCTATCCTTGACACTGAAAGGTACACCCCACAGTGGCGGCCTATTAGATTCATCTGGCCAACGCCTGTACAAATCTCTGACTGAAGCCATAGCATCTTCAATGGGCTGAAGGTAAATCCACAAAGATGGTTGTATATTTCGATATGCTTCGATGCGGTCATAAATAGCTTGCACTACGAGTTGAGGTCTGACACCAGCTTTGTAATCGATCATTAGACTTTCAATATCGAGACTTGAGTCCCAGTAGTCCATTTCTTCTTCTCGAACATCACATTCTCGAAATATTCGGATCATACATGATTCTTCGTGAATAAAGACAGAGGCTCGGTTCCGGGGTAAGGATATTGAAAACTTATTCACAGAGATGAAGCCCAAATTCTGAAAGAAAGACACAGTAGCAACGGGACTTTCCAAGTATACTGGAATTTTTTCTTTCTCCCCTTTTAAGAGTCCCCAGTTAGTCAGCAAAGTTCCAGCTCCGCGCCTCCTATATTGGGGCAGAGTGATGACTGAAGTGAGACCTATCTTGCGATGTCAGAACGAGTGGCGGATACGATCTGAGGCCAAAAATGAAACCTGAAAGATTCAATAAACAGATGCTTCTGAGTGCTTACTCAAACACAGAGTACAGCGATGGGGAATTACTAGTATGAACAAGATCGGGATAATCTTACGATAGCATTGGGCATCACCCATGACCTTTATCTTATTAGATTCCTGCTTCGCACTGTACTCTTTGATAAGGTCCCGGCGGGCATCTCTTGGAGGGAATATGTGAGCAAGAGGACAAACAGCCCGTGAGATCTTCGCTGGCAAATCCCACTTGGCTATTGCAATGATTTTTTTCATGTCGTCTGTGTCTCGCACTACCAAATTGATTCTCTCAACGTTTCCTTCTTTCAAGGTTAGGAGGACATCTTGTTTGAGACATTCACGCAAGCCTGCAAGACTTTCTTCTGTTGGAAATAAAGTACGTTGCAACAGCGTTCGAGAGAAGGCGTTTAGATGCATATCCGCAAGTATATCTGCGTCTTCGGCAGCCGCCAAGTCTAGTTGAAACCCCATAATGAGCAACGTTGAAGGTGCGCGTTAACCAACCAATTCTGTTTGTCGATGGGGCCGATAGAATGATAACCTCACTAGAATCGTGATAGGGTCTATTGTGCGTTATAAGTTGTTGTCATATTTCGTGATATTCATGAAGCAAGCGTCTTCTACTCTATCTACACTCTCTCGCAATCGCACTTTCCTATGTTAATAGCTTGCTATTATTCGTTGAGAAAACAATGCTTTCTCATCTGGCAGTTTCCTGCGATGAGTGAAGATAAGTGGCATGTACTTTCCGTTCACGTCCGGGTACTTTCGTTCCAATGTCAATAGACCTCTGCTATGTGCCGATAAATAGGTACGTACTCTCTCACTTTCCCCATGTTGTTGTTCTTGTGTTACGTAAGGTAACTAGTAACTACTACGCTCTCGTTCCCCTACTTCTCTTGATACCGTGAATGCCAATATTCTATATCAAACTTCACGCGAGTGGATGATATTCAAAATGGTAGAAATTTTATTAACAATGGCAGGAAGATTCCAGTGGTTTCTCCTTGGCTACCTACCTCACACGGAGTAGGTTACCAGAGACTGAAGGCGACAGACAGTGAGCTTTGATTGGGTGCCACTGCTTATATAAGGTGAGCTAGCATTGCTGTCCTACACAAGCCACATACGCCACAGTGACGTACGCTATTACCCCTCTCGTTTTTGGTCATATTGATCTGCCCACTTTTCGCCCCTGGTTCCCATTTCATTGCATGCTACAAATACATTCCAAGAGCCACGATACAGTTCAACAAAATTCCATCAACTTTTTCTACTCTTAACACAATTCAACCAACCCTTTTTTTGAACACAGCAAAGCAAACTCACAAATTACAATCCATCTTCATCCATCCTCATAATCATGTCTGCCAACACAGTACACGTCAAGAACATCTCCTCGCAGACCAGCGAGAAAGAAGTTAAAGACTTCTTCAGCTTCTGGTAAGCTTCAATCCCATTCCTTGAGTTTCAGCTTCCTTTGCAAGACTTTAACACCAATTTAGTGGAAAGATTACCAGCCTTGAGGTCGGATCCGTTGGAGAGACACAAAACGCCACCGTTCAATTTGAGAAGGAAACCGCAGCTAAGACTGCCTTGTTACTCGACAACACTCAACTTGGATCTACTCAAGTTAAGGTTACAAGTGCATCTGGATCCAACGAGGATGATGGAAGCCATTATACTTCCAATGAACAACGTGACAGCGACGATATTACCCAGGAGGAGAAGCCAAGAAGCCGTATCATCGCAGAATATCTTGCCCATGGATACGCCATTGGAGACACTGCTGCTCAACGTGCGATCGATCTGGACCAAAAGCATGGAGTATCTAACCGCTTCCTCGCCACCTTGAACAGTCTCGACAGCAAGTACCATGCCACTGAGAAAGCTAAGGGCGTCGACCAATCTTATGGTGTTACCCAGAAGGCCAGCTCTCTCCTTTCTGGATTGACCTCTTATTACGAGAAGGCCGCTGGAACTCCAACTGGTCAAAAGCTTGTCAACTTTTACACACAAACCTCTCGCCAAGTCCAGGATATCCATGCCGAGGCTCGCCGTTTGGCAGATATCAAGAAGCAAGAAGGCCCACAAAAGGTTCCTGGTACCGAGAAGACAACTTGTAAGTGTGGTTCAGTTTCTGGAGAATGTCCCTGTGCCCCTGGGTCCTGCGCATGCAGCGACTGTGGCAAGTCCGATGTCAAGAAGGTTCCAGGTTCTGATAAAACAACCTGTGGTTGCGGCGGTAACACCTCGAAATGTGGCTGTGCTCCTGGTCAGTGCAGCTGCAACTCCTGTCCCAAGGCCGAAACAGAGAAGGTTGCTGGTAGCGACAAGACTACATGCAAGTGTGGTGGAGACAGCAAAGACTGTCCCTGCGCGGAAGGTCAATGTGCTTGCATTGGATGTTGCAAATAGATCAATTTCTTATGTTTATTTCGTTGCTGGTCATGGAAATCAAATTGTATCATTAGTTACCTGCTGACTTAGCTCTTTAATCAGCTGATTCAGCAGCTATTGTGGACTCAACCAAGGTTGCACCTCTCGATCCTCAATCTGAGAAGTCAACCTTTGCTTGAGCGTTTTGGGACTTTGATCTTTCTTATGAGAGTGGCAATTTTGGTATTGGTGTGAATGGCTACAGAAAACGGATAGGTATTAGGGATGAATTATCAGATTAAGTTGGACGGTTGTTTGCAAGCGATGCGTTGGGGGAATATGAAGGTTAATGATCAATTTGCGAATTAAATATCATAAGTTTCTTACAACAATTACGTGCCTCCCTGAATTGAAATTATTGGTGTCGGTAAAGAATATTGTTTAACTGGTAGTTTTTGTAGAAAGTGGCACTTGTGTCCACATAATTACTCAGGAAACGGTGATGTTGATGCATGACAATATTTTGTTGATGGCTATAAGTTATGTACTAGTCTGTTGTTGGGATATGGATAGGTAGATCCGCATACAGGTCAACAAGAACGTCCATGAATATTGAGCCCCTGTGTCGTTCATTGAACCAAATAATGGGTGAAGATAGGTGTTTTTCCAAAAGTCTGCATTATATTTGCAAATATTGATACACATCACACATTTTTTACAATAGAATTAAACCAGCATCACACTAGAGCTACTTCATGAAGATTTTATTTCATAACGAATTTGTTTCATTGTCTCATTTAACTCCTCCCATTTCATGACGGTATCATATCATTTTATATCGTATCAATACGTGCACCTCCTCTGAAAGTGCGACTAATATACATGCTTCCATTGGTTATCCCGAACACCCTCATATCGGTTCGCATTTAGTTCTCAGTCTTTGAGCGAGTCTCGTTTGAGTGATCCTCGAGAGGTCCCTTTGGGTTTGAGGAGAGGTTCTGTAAAAAGAGTGTTAGTAATGGATCTGGTCTATTATTTAATCAACGAGCAGGTATGAATTTTACGTACCTCGATATCAGATTTGCTGTCTTGTTGGTTGTTGCCTCCTTGGCTGATTCCCTTGGCATCGGAGGGAGCACCTTTTTGAGCACCGGATTGGGTCTCAGGTGGTGGTGATTGACGTCCTTCAGGCATGATGTATGTGTGTATGTGTGTTTATATAGTTCTATAGAGAATTAGTTTGCCTGACGAATGTATTTGAGCTTTGTTAGATGGGAGATAGAATAGGACGTGAGATTAGCTTGTGCGAAGCGAAAGCAACAACGACGTTAATTTGATGCAATGGTCGAATATGTAAGTGATCAAGTATACTCACATTGATGAAGAGGAATTGAGTTTGATAGATGGATGGTAAAGTTGTGTATAGTTTTAGATATGAGGGTTGACAGAAACAAGCTTCTCCTTTTCTATATACCCCTCTAAGCTTCATACGTCATAGAGAGAGTTGCCCCCCCCCACTTCACCCCTTCACCTGTGACATGAACTCGGGGCTTTTGGGTACTTCAAGGTTCAGATGCAATCACGTGATTAAAACATGCTTCGGGCATCAGCCACCAGTCAAAAGCCACATGCCAAGACTACCTAGGTAGCCTCAAGCTTTATAAATTATGCGTTATCAAACCGTCCTCAACAATAGTGCTACAGCCTTATTATACTTCTGTCACAGTTAGATTAACTGATTGATTCCCAAACTTATTCTAATTCTACTCCTATGTATAATATGGTCCCGCACTATTGAAACCTAGCAACACATAAACGTGTATTTATTGTCGCTCGAAAGTCTACAATCCACTTCGTGCTCACTTCGGTGAAAGTGATGGCACCAGATCTAAACTCAGTACCTATATCTCCAAGACCTCAGGAGGTTATAGCATCTCCACAACTTACGTCTCGTACTCCTTCCCGACGTACTTCCCAAGCAATGGCTTCCCCAAATAATCTATCGAGTTCATCCTTAAATATTCTTCCTTCGAACCAAAGTGCTGTCGCTGCAGCTTCACCTCCTTTGGCGTCGCCTTCTAATAATATTTTGACATCTGCAACTGGCACGATTCCTTCAGGAGATAATACCGGTGTAGGAATGGGACCTGGACCGTTAAGACACCCAAGGCCTTTGACGGCTGCCGATTTACATCTACAACTGGAGAAAGAACAAGAAGCTGTCGTATGTACATTCCGATAGTTTATCAAATGTCTAGTAATCCTTCAGATAATGGAAACTCTGCATTCTGGTTATCTATACTAATATCTATGGTACTATAATAGGTAAATCGATTAACCCGTGAACTGAGCATGCTCCGTGCTGCTCAAAATGCCTCCGTCGTCTCAAATGCCTCATCCACTTCTGCAGGTCATCCTGATGGGTTAGATAACTCAAACCATCTCCTATCCGGACCCAATCACCCCATTCCTTCACATCGTCGCCATCACCGCACATCTTCCAGCACCTCCACTCGAAGCATTACTGCCACAGCAGGTAGTATCAGCACGACCAGTGGAATCGCAGCCCCTGCCGCTCGACGTGTCGATTCACTACCTCAAGCTATCTCTCTCGGTCGCCAAAACTCTACAACTAGTGTTCACAGATCCGGAGCTAGTAGTCCTGCACCGTTGAGCGGCAGTTATGGACATGCGGATCAATTCTCGCATTTCTATCACCAACAACGACCTAGTATGCTACCACACCGTGACTATTCATCGGGCAATGTACCAACAATGGGTAGTACTGCGGGTGAAGTTGGTAGTGCGACGAGCGTGCCAACAACAGCAAGATATGAGGAGGCAGCACTTCAGAGACAGGAATTAGATAATGTAAAGAGAGAGAATGAGGCGTTGAAGAAGAGGATTAGGGAGTTGGAGAGGACGATAAGGGATAGAAGACAGAGTGATGCAAGTTTGAACAGACCAAGAAGTGAGAGTGTTAGTACGTCGGCCAGTGTGAGCATTGGAAGGAGTAGGGATAGCTTAAGGAACAAGGATGTGGAGGAAGATGAGAGCGTTAGGGTTGGGGAGAGTGCTAGAAGTGGTGGTTTGAGATGAGTGGGTTTGGGTTGATTCTTGACAATCTGATATTTGGGAGTTCGTGAAGGTTTCATTTTTTAGTAATTGCTACAAATTTTGTTTCGGCTCGAGGGATAGGAGAAAAATATGGCGTATGAGTGGGTTTTCCTACATCGTCTGGTCTATTTTGCGTATTACAGGGAAATGTCGGAAATCTAATAATCCAGCCCAGGAATAGGTTATTGAATAGCAATCACCTCTTTATTGTAATAACGTTTATTGTTCCTTAACCTTACCTGTTGAAATTCTCGCACATTCATTGAACCACATGACTATTCGTGCTTTGAATGCTTCCCAAAGGTCTTCCAGCGTAGTGTCATCTAGATTAGATTCCACGTTACCCAAAAAATGAAACTAATAATCAAATCCAATGATTATCCCAACAACCATTTTCATGAACACAAGCCGCTGTAATAAAAGTTGCCTAATCAGAGAGGTGGAAGTCGGCCGTACATGCTATTTCGGCTGCGAGACCGAGACGGCCTTTTGGGGGGAAGGGGGCGAGCTAAGATGGAAGCGAACTTCATCACTCGGATCTGCTAGAGAGATTGTTCGTAACAACATGTGCACCATGCGAAACATAAGCTGTCCTCTTACACACCATTTCTTAACAGCAAGAATAACACGAAACCTACGGGCCTGTATTGGAGTATAAATACTGTGCTTCAAGAGTTGATGTGCAGTTATAGGAGTGTCTGCAACATCAGATGTACTTGCTTGATAACATATCTTGCGACCACCACAGCCAATATTGATCACTCAGTCCAAAGATTCGGATGTTCTTCTTGAAATGAAGTCTGAGATAGAGTCAATTATCGTCAAAAACGCATGAGTTCATGTACTTTTGTCGGAACACGTGACCAGCGGCGTGACATGTAATGTCACGCTTTACCTCACATACGTACAAAGTGTGTAAGTGGGGGTAGTACACGTATATAGATATAGCAATTCCCTCTTTGTACAAAGAGGGTAGACAGAAATAAACAACCCTTTTACTCATACATATTGTGTATACACACCTTACTAAGTCTGCCCAACAACTTTTGTAAATCTGTCGAATTCAGATGGTCTATCTTGCTCTTACAATATCACCACCACTCCGCTGCTGAGTTCTTGTTCTGTGTCTGCTACAGCCGACAATGTTGCCTCATTCAACACGGCATTGCAAGTTACCTGACCCACTCGAATCTTGTAGCTATTGATGCTGTACTTTTCATAGGTATGATCATAGATATTCAAAGTGCCGTCACCCTTCGTTTGGTTGCGAAACTTGAATTCAATGGCGAACGACTACCGTTCGGAAGTGTAGAGATGCTGAGAATATAGTGATTTTAGGAATATTAATATTTTGTTCCAATCATTGGAGAAAATGTTTGCAATGGATCTTATGATAGAAAGGGCCTTGGCCAGTAGCAAAGGCAGAGCTGTACAGAAATACAAACAGACTACCAGGAAATTGCTCGAGTAGAAAGGAGGATTCAAAGTGATTTGTGCCATGGAGTGTATGATTGATGGTCAACCAGGACAGAAACCCCCGAACACCGAACTCGCAAAAGTTAATGAACATCTTAAAATAAATCTTCTTCAAAATTGATTTTCAAATTGATTTCATATATCAAATCCTTCAAAATTATATTTGACGAATCAATATCAAACAAATAATTATTGTCGAGAGTTTGAAGAAGTGGTATTCATTCATTGTTTTGATATCAAATTTCGATCGAGGTACTGTATATCGTAAACTCCGAAGGTTTTTGGTATTCGGCTTTTTTTGTCGTTCGCGAGAGTGTCAAACGAACAAAGGATTAAGCACAGACACAAGCAGGGTGTACCTACGACCAGACCAATGGAATACTGGCGAAAGAGTCGAGGCCCGGTTATTGCCCTTCGCCCAGGAGTCCGAACGAGGTGATTGCCCCAGGCGGCAGGATAGACGCATGCCATTGTTTGAACAAGTTCAACTCCTTCTACGTCAAATTGCGAAGTCTGATCCGATGAACACGTCCCTACGATTCAACGAATCATGCCTTCTCAAACGTGTCCCTGTGTCTGACTCCATATCAGCCTTTCAGCAAGCTTAGCAAGGACTATGGGGAATTACTCTACGAAATCACCGAATCATATTAAAGATTCTGTGCCAATATTTGCATTAGACACTCTAGTAGTGTTATGATCAGTATGATTGACCATACGAGCAAGTTGTCCGCACCTCAGCGACAAGTGCAAATGGGGTTGGATGGTTTTCGAAGTTCAAAATATATAACTTAGTATGATATGCCAGGTGAACATGAAATGGTTTTTCAATTGACTTCTTCACTATCATAATCGGCTTCAATCTCATCCGAAAGTTCGTCCAGAGTATCTGTAGTGATCTGTATCTTTGCATCTTTCGTCTTTTGTACACATTACTCATAACAGAGTACCATATTTAAGTCGTCCAAAATGAACGGAACTTGTGCTGGTGAGCCCCAAATGTCCCTTTCTTCCATCACTCGCAAGTCCTGATTTATCTAGCCCTTTATACCCCTGATACAAAATGGAGCTTCTGTCCCAACATCGGTGCCGCCTACTTGTTTACCGTCCTATTCCTTCTCACCACTTTAGTTCACTTGGCTCAAGCTATCTTCTATAGAAAGGCATACTGTTGGGTCGTTGTAGCATCAGGACTAGCACAGAGTCTTGCGTATATATTCAGAGTCGCTAGTATAAAAAGTCCTGCCAGTTTTGGAGATTATGCAGCTTGGTTTGTTCTGATTTTGGTGAGTGATTCCCTCAATCAGCATTGATTGACAAAACTAACCTAGGTGTCTAGATTGCACCACTTTTCACAAATGCCTTCACATATATGGTCATGGGAAGGATGATCTGGAACTATATCACAGATGCTACGATATGGAAAATAACGGCATGGAGATTTGGACTCTACTTTGTGATTCTAGATATTGTGTATGTTTAGTCAAATCCCTATAAGTTTTAATCCAGCACTAACACAGATTTCAGAGCACTCCTCATTCAAGTTTATGGAGCTGCGTCTGCGTCCAGTGACACCGCAACTCAAAGTGAAATCTTAGATGGTGTGTGGTCTCCGCAGAATCCATTTACTTGAGCTAGCTAACATTGCTCTAGGCCTTCATGTCTATATGGTTGGTGTTGGAATACAGCAATTCTTCATCTTTGTTTTCCTCTTCTTCGCCTTCAAGTTTCATCAGACACTTCGCGACCAGTCCCGTCGAAACTCCTATACTCCACGACAAGCATGGTCCTTACTCTATGCCTTATATGCAGTCATATTACTGATTACTGTAGGGCACGCCCCTCCCCCAGTTTTTCGAATACCTTTTCTAACTTACCTCATAGATCAGAATTATTTTCCGTCTTGCTGAATACTCCCAAGGCCTCAAAAGTAGCATTCCCAATCACGAAGCATTCCAGTACTCTCTCGACTCTGTACCAATGTTTTTTGCTCTCGTTATTCTTAACATCTTTCACCCTGGTCGCATCATGGCGGGTCAAGATTCAAGTATTCCAGGGAGGAAAGAGAGGAAGGGCGTCGACTTCAGAACAAAGATGCAGAAGATTGGAAATAGCGACATTGACGAAGTTCAGATGGTGTAATATTTCAAGTTGTTATGAACAGTTCAAGGTTTGGAATTGGAAATAGATTTTTCCCGACTTGAGAAAGAGGATTCGCGTTGCCCTTTAGGGCTGCATGAGGGGTTGGAATATAGAGATCACAAGTTGAATTGGAGTTACTATCATGATTGAACGATTGACATACGTTGTTGTGGTCACTGGGTCTCGTTTTCGACACGTTGCGGGAAGATACCTCCAGGCCAAAGGTAGACATTCGAGGAGGGAAGGTTGATTACCCTTCAGGAGTTGAAATAGACTTATGAGATTGGATGGAAACTTGGGTTGTAATACGTAATGTATGTATATGTCATGTTTGTCAAATCGATATTTACATGTCAGTGTGTCAACACAAATTATTCCAAGAGCATTATTCATAACTACATACTATTAAAGATTGTATATTGTATCATTTTGGAATCCTTGGTATTCATTATCAAGCAGGATTTGTTGTAGGAGAAGTATATCTTCAACAGGCTATTGTACGTCAACATGGTGACAGTCAGTTGAACTATGAACCACATCAATGGTGACAATGACAAACGACAAGTGCAAATTCCTTCTCAACTTTATAAAGCTTATTGGAATGAAAAGTTTGGGTAATTAAAAATGTACACTATTTTCAATACTCAACATCAAATCAAAAAATCATTGTTCTGAATTAAAACCTTAATTTATGAATTTAGAAACTGTTAATTTAATATAAAGATAATGCTGCTCGGATTTCGATATAATTTAATATCATTGTAAGATGTTAAAATGCAAGTATTTACAGTGTATGATTTTAACCTTATCTTTATGCTCAATTAGCGGGTGTATTTATGTACCGGTATATATCTAACACCAGTTATGGTTAGTATATACTAGGATCATTGTATAAGTTCAACGGTGATAATAACTTTTGTTACAGATTCTCTGCTGCATAAAGATGATATATTGATCGAGTTCGATACTATCTATGCTGTTCTACTCGGTATTTCCAAATGCTCTTCGCCTGGTTACTCCGCCAAAAGGTATCACAGGGATTTGGCATATGCTTTCTATCCTCAACCACCAGGTGAACCTTACTCAGCCCAGACCCACTCACAGCCTCAAGTCATCTTCCGTCAACTTTATACTTTAGTACTTCTCCCTGATTTAACCGTCGACAACATGTCGAATCGCGTTTACTCTCGAACTTGTGTTCACAATTCTTCAAAAAACATCACAATAGATAAATCATCATGCCTAGAGTTGCTCTAGGCTAAAGAAAACGTGCCTATAGACCGAAGACTAGGACGGGGTGTGTGACTTGTAAGTATGTATTTCCAATGCTATTCGTTATGTCATATATCTAACTATTGTGTAGAAGTAAGAAACCATGATTCTCTCGCATCTTAGTGTAGATAGAATATGTAAATAACTGAAATTCTCACAGTCCGAAGAGTGAAATGTGATGAAGGACGACCATCATGTCAAAGATGTGCATCCACCGGCCGGAAATGTGACGGCTATGCTGAGGAGTCCAGTGACTCTCCTACAAGCTCGAATTCCGATTTCAACGATCACGAAGCGAGTACTGTACTTATACAATCACCTTCGTCTTCAGCGATGCTCACATCTGACCGAGAGCGGGAGGCTTTTCACTTCTTTGTTAATATAACGGCTCCGATGATGGGCGGTTTTGGTAAGGAAAGCTGTTGGTCAGAAATGATTCCTCGAGCTGCACATCACGAGCCTTCTATTCGTCATGCAGTTATTGCGTTGGGTGCTCTACATCACAGCAAAGAAAGAAGTTCCTGGTCTACTTCATCGAATAACCTGTTCTCTTCTGCCGAAGAACAATTTCCCCTTTTAGAGTACAATCGAGCCATTGAATGCTTGGTGGAAACTTTTGCGAAGAAGGAACGACAGGCTATGGATGTCTGTCTAATCAATTGCGTTTTATTTTCTGCTTTTGAGGTCAGTGCCTTTCTATTGGATGCTGATGTATCGATGTTAATTTGCATAAATTGTAGATGATGCAAGGTAATTATGGCCATGGAGCCGCACATCAGGAAAGTGGAAGTAAGATACTTTGCGAGATCACATATGATGAAAGTTCTCAGAAATACTATCACGATTCGCTCACGACTTCCAACTACCCATACTTGCCGATGCCACTTCTTGAAGAATTATATCTGCGCTCGGATTTTGTTTATACTCAAGTAAGTTTGAGACGTTCCCTTGCAGAGGATATAATGGTTGAATATTAATAAGTCCTCCGAAAGATGATCAATACTTACGACCAATCCCTCTACAACAAGTTCAAAGGCTCTCAATTCACAGCCCACCCTCCAGTAATATTTACTTCTCTTTCCCAGGCTCGCAACACGCTCCATTTCTTCTGGTCTCGTTTCCGGACCGATCTAGATAATCTCAACTCCGAACCGGACTCCCCGGGACTGAACCAGCGTTTCCACAATTGGCAAATGGAAACCATTCAATTCGCCCACAAATGGATATTCGCCTTCCAAGCCTTCATTCTCAAATATAGTGATACCTTTTCCGAAGCTGATAGAATAGGCGTTGCAATTTTACAAATACAAAGCCATTCCGGATACATGAATGCGCATGTACCGCGCGACGTCAGAGATAACCAAATGTTATGGGATCCCTTTCTGTCCGTTTTTGAGAAAATCACCGTGTTATCAGAAGAGGTTATTTCCAATCCTGCATTTACCACGACTGTATTCCAAATAGATATGGGTGTCATCGGACCTCTCTATCAAGTCGTAAGCGCATGTCGCCACCCGGTCGTAAGGAGGAGAGCTGTTGCCTTAATGGAACGCGTACCCAGTCTTCAAGAAGGAATTTGGAATGCTGGTATGACGGCAAGAGTTGCTAGGAAGGTAATGGAACTCGAAGAGTATGGGATAGAAAATGTGAGGGAAGCAGCCGATATTCCGGATTCGGCCAGAATTAGTGATGTAGATCCTAAATTCGAGGAGGGAAGACGAGTGACACTGACATATAATAGAAGTGACAGAGCAAGGGGGCCTTTAGTCAGGAACAAATTCACGGAGACTTTTGAATGGTAGAATGATCTAAACAGAGAAGTAGTATAGTAATTGGCGAGATGAAGTAAAGACCGCCCCTCTCGAAGATGCAAACCAAAATAACAATCTTGCCACAATATATATTGTAGATTGGAACATTTGTTCATATTTGACCGTCTTTCGCATGCAGTATCTACATAACCTCTCATATCCACGCAAGAAATGCTGACCAGGATACCCACATAATCTTTCCCACCCCAAAACGCCATGCTATGTATTTAATACAAGAGGGAAGAGTTTGCACATCCATTTATCCACAGGGAAGATTCATTCGGGGTTTGTTCGACGTCGTCCATCAGTTCAAGCTTGTATCGAGCTACTATCGTCCCTCGACCGTTTTGCCGCCCTCGAATTTATCCATCCTACACACCCATCAGCCCCGCGCCTCAGTAACAATTATCACCGGTCCTTAAAAACCTTCGGTTTCCACCCTTTCTCCAATTCGGCCTCCCTCTCCAAGGCTTCCGCCTTAACCCTCACTTCGCCCTCTAGCCTCTCTCTCGCCCTCAGCACTTTACTCTGGAGATAAAAACTTCCTCCCTTTTTCGGATCATTCGTGTCGAACAATTTCTTGAACCGCGACATCACATCTTCCATGTCCATTTTGCCTTCTTTTGGTGGTTTTACGTTGAGAATTTTGCAGGCCTCGTCTAATGTGAGACCATTGGAGGAGAAAGTTGGACCACCCGAGGCAGAACCATTTTGTTGCGCTTTCTGGTATGCTGAGGAGGCTTTCGCTTGTTTCCAGGATTCGGTGAGGGCGCGTCCGAGAACTCGTGAGCCGGTTATGACAACTTGGGTTATGATGCGATGGGCCTTTTATTGAGTCAGTTATAGGATTTTCCCATTTGGAGGGAAAGAGTGGCATAGTTGGAGCAATTGCACTTTGGAGATGTACGTGCAGCTTGTGAGAAAAGACTCATTATATACATACCATGACGATGGAACTGCGACAGTCAACAACAGAACCCAGACAATTGGAAAATAAATTATGGTGTGGAAATGTCACTTACTCACTCTTCACCAGAAGTCGAGAGATAATGTGAATATCTAGACTTTTCCCCGGAATAAACTTTCGCCATCGGCCGAAGTGGCAGGGATTCCAAGAAGTCGATTGATGCCTAATAAGGCTAGTAACGGTCATCAGTCCTCTAGCTGGCTGGAACCCCCAAAAAAGACACCTTAAGATACCTACGCTGCAAGTAACCAAAACAATCACAAATGCTTCTCCTATTCCACACCGGCTCTTTAACTCTATAAATCTTATATCGATCAATCTTCAATACAAATTTCGAGCTTCATATCGTCCCATCTTGTAAAAGATGTCGCAATTTTATTCCTCCCCTCCCCCCAATAACCCCTACGGCGCATCCAATACCGCAGCTCAAAACCTCCAATTCTACCCCTCAACATACGCTCCCGGCCCCGTCTCCGGTCACGCAACACCACAGGCTGCATATGGATATGGAGTTCCTCCCGCCGCACAAGCATATCCCGGAGCTGGAGCCGGCGGATTTGGATTCCCTGGAAATGTACCCTCGGGGGTGAGTGGGCGGATGGGAGAAAGTGGTGGATTGAGAACGGGGTGGTTGGCTGCCTTTGGAACCGAGGGTTACGATGGGGAACCACCGCTATTGGAAGAATTGGGAGTGAATTTCGGGCATATCAGGAGTAAGGTATGGTTATTCTTCCTATGATCATTCGCTTTTATGGAATGCGCAGATACTGATTTGAATATATAGACATTGGCAGTACTGAATCCCCTTGCGCATATCGATCAACACATAATGGACGATTCTGATCTCGCGGGACCGATTCTCTTTTTCCTCTTATTTGGAACCTTCCTCCTCTTTTCCGGAAAAGTACATTTCGGATACATATACGGGCTGGCGCTTCTCGGATCCTCTTCGCTCCACCTAATTCTTTCTCTCATGTCACCACCTCTTAACACGGATCCTAATTCTCAGCAACCGGTCGGTCCTTCACATCTCTCTTCTACCCTTACATTTCCACGAAGTGCTAGTGTTCTGGGTTATTGTTTATTGCCATTAGTGCTCACGAGCGTAGTGGGAATCATCATGCCAATGGATGGACTAGTTGGGTATGTATTAACCACATTGGCCATTGTGTGGTGTACATACAGTAGTAGTGGGATGTTCTGTGCAGTCGGCAGAATGAAGGGGATGCGAGGACTAGTCGCTTATCCTCTAGCCTTATTCTACGTTGGCTTTGGAATTATGGGTATTTTCTCAAGCAGGGGGGTTGGAACATTGGGAAAAGTGGCGGGAGCATAAATACACAAAAGGAATTGGAAGACGATTTCTGTATATCCAGAGGCGCGTGGGAGGAAAGTCGCGGTTTACAAATGGCACGGGATGAAAGAGCTCGAGTGGTAATTTACATGGTGTATGGAATGGAAGGGAACAGGTGGGTCAGAAGGATGGTACGGAATGGTTTGGGTCTGGGATCTGTACAATATGTTCTTCTTTACTTGTACAGCACAACTCAAAGTACTCGTTTGAGAGATAAAAGCATTGGGGGTGGATAGCCGAAGCGAACAAATGAATAGACAAAGAACAAAAATATATTCCCCGAGCCCAAATCAGTTACAACTTGTTTCAAGGATACAATATCGCAAGGATACAATGATTACAATTCACACACGCTATGGTATAATTATCCCTTAATCCCCCGTCAGAAACCCGATTGTCCCCTTCCAGATGCCTTTCCCAGTTTCACAATTACTCCAAAACCCATACCGAAAGTCCGCCGCCTACCATCCGTCTACTCCAGTCCCATCCTGGCATCATCACTTAGCCCCCAGTCCGTTGCTCTCGGCCTCGTGAAAGGCCTCTCATCATCCGCTTCCGATTGTAGGCTCACGCTACTTTGTCTACTTCCCCTTTCCAAGTATTCCTTCTTCAAACTACTTTTCTTGCTGCTAAGCCGGCCACTTTTGTTACTCCTCAGACTAGCATCATCCCGATCCGAATATTCTGGCGGGGGGCTTCTCGATCCAGAACCTGAGAACGATGAAAGTCGTGTATAAGCAGAATTTGAATCCAGACTTGCGGATGCTTGGGTAGGGGTTGGCGAGGGCGTTATTTCCGTGCTCGAGCTTATTTCGACAAGCTCGGCGTCACGGTACCATTTCCTGCGGCGGGTATATCTTCCCCATCCATCTTGGCCTCGGCGACCGTTTTGCCACTGTAGAAGGTCAGCATTACATGTAAAAGGTAAGTAAAGACGATATGACTGTACACACCTTATTGTCATAATATATCCACCCTGTTCCGCCGTCGCTCTCAGCTTTTGGTTTAGATCCACCTTCATCATGTTCGGCAGCTCCTTCTACACGCCAGCGACTACCTTCAACCCACCTCCATCTTGCACCGCCACCCTCTACATCTGGTAATTCAAAATATTCCTTTGGAGTAACAGCATTCAAATGTTCATCTGTCCATGCAGCCCTCTCATATGCAAACAATGATGTTGCCCATCCTAGTCCGACCCATCTACGCTGGTTTTCATATAAAATAAATGTAAACTTTACCCCTGGTGCTTCTGGTCTTCTCTTTATAGCTGCGTTCGCTGCTAACGATGCATCGGCATATGAAGATGCCGTACGAGGTGGTAGAGGAGGCTTATAATTGGCCCCATTTGTGTTTGGTGATAGCTCATCTGTTAAATGTAGACCAGTCAAAGCGGTACATATGCGGCGAACGAGGGATGATCTCCATAGTATCGTTCTTGCTATTCGATTCGGACGCGAATGCCAAGTCAAGAAAATTGTTCCCGTTACCAAAGCGATACGTTTCGTGGTGATAACCTGTAAAGGAGGTAAAGTAAGAATAATCCATACGGGTGTGATAAGAAGGATTCGTATTAAAAGTGTTGTGAGTGCCGGGCGAGTCGTGGCAGATGTTGCTGTTCGCTGAGTCGATAGAAAATCCGTCAATTGTAAAAGAGGATCCAAAAGCACATTGCATCTTGACGTGAATATCTTCAAGGTTTCCACAATCTCGTCCAAAGTTTTCTGGTGCTTGGTATTTGTGATTTCGGAGTCGACCCTTTTGTGAGCCTTCTTCTGTTTCTCTCCTGTCCAGCTCGTTGATGATAAAGGGGAATATCGTCTTGAGTACATCCCCAGTATTAAACCAATAACCACTACCAACGGTCCAGCAAATCGCATGACAACATCTCCATACAGTACAAATGCCCAAAAACTAGCGACGAGCAAGAAGCTCTCCCACGGATCTCCACTCGTCCATGTTATTAACCCTACAAGTTTATTGAGAGGCAATAGAAAAGGATGCGAGTATGCTAAAGCTCTTGTAATTTGCGGAGGAGTCGCTAGTAATAAGGGGGACTTGTGATGAACCAGGATAGTTGATCTCTGTTTGTTCGCGGATGAGGCATGTGATAGAGTAACTGGAGAGAATGCAGCTATTGTCGGAGGATTCGGATCAGAAGGAGTTGTTATGGATCCACCATGGTCATCTTTTCTTAAACTTGGAGTACCAGACATTTGATCCAACCAAGGAGTATCCTATTGATCTGGTTAGATGTGAGGTTCTGAAGATCTCGAAAGGCGGATTGTTGGGAGAAGGCTAATAAGCATGGGGCAAGATTTGGTGACATACGAACGCAGCCATTTATTTACAACAACGTCATTTCTATTCACAGGCTGTACCAGGGGAAGGAAATGTTGGAGGAAGATCAACGGACTGCGTTAGAACTTCCCAAAAAGGAAATAATGATTTGATAAATTGTAGTATTCACGACTGAACAGTAGAAAGAAGAGTTTTGAAGGAAGGAGAGTCGAAATGTAATAGATGAGCGAGGACTTACAATTGAACAATGGAAGGAATGAAAAGCGCTCTACTCGGTTCGAAATCTGGGGTACGGTACAATCACATGTCACCAGTTCTCAGCTAATAATAAGTGATCAATTAATGATCAATGTTTGAATATCAATCAAT